TCAGGCCGGACAGCTGGGTAAATACAACGTGTGTGGGTGGACGCATACGCTGCATGTGTGCAAATGTGTCTGCCGAAAACTAAAGCTCACATTTCCATGTGCATCACTAGCTCAAACAAACGAAAAACCCACTCGATCTGGGTCACGTTACAGTGGTGATCTAGCATTGACAGCTGGTTTACTAAATGTTCTGTACAACAGAGGTCCCCAACCACCGGGCCGTGGAAGAATTGCTACTGGGTCGCAAGAACGTTCTGGGAAAAATGTGTATAGATATGACATTCTGTTATTTATTTATGTTAATGATCTAATGTTCTAATTATTCAGTATTTTCTTTGTATGCGATTGATATGGAGTAGCATTGTGCATTAAAGCTTTTACTCCAGTTTATTACTTGCCACAGTTCGGAAAGGACAGATGTTTCAAAATGGCAGATTATGTGGAATTTTCTTTAGAACACCTAAATCTGTGCATGCACCTTAAAACATCTTGAGGACCTGGACCCACACACAGAGTTTCTAGACAAAGGGTGACCAGTCGTGCTCCTGAAGAGTTCAGCTCCAACTGAAGGTTTCTAGCAGAGGTCCTAAAGACCTTAGCTGGGTTCAGTAAAATCAGAATGTAAAGGTTAGGCCTCAAGTTTCCTTTGCTGACTTAAGTTGAAAATCTATTACACACTAGAAGTAATTTAATCAAACAGCTACTAATAATAAATTAGATTTTTGCAACACTGACAGCATCTTTGCTCCTATTATCCAAACAACTTCTTTAATTCCATATTATATACTTGATTGCACAATCATTTATGGGCCTGTGAGTTATGGATGTCTTGAACGTAACACTCAGTTCATTATTATTTTCAGTAAAAGAAAAAAAAGCTTCAGGTACAGTAGATAAGCAGCATCTACTGTATTTTTATCATACACTGATAGACAGTAAAAATGGCTCCTATAACAAGATGAATCAGCTTCATCAAAAATGTGTAGCAGTAACATTCATTAAGATGATTGATTCATGAGACCAATTTTATCCTATTTACTCTCTTGCTTTTGAATCAAAACCCTTCAGGCCTGATCCTGACCTTGTCATCAGAATGCAACGCCAGAGCCAAATGTGCACGACTCTCAGTGATGATACTCTCCTATTCATTTTACCTCATCTTATTAAAATAAAAGCCTGTGGGGCCTCCAATGCAATTAGAATAGTTCTCAAAATCTGAAAGGGCTCTCCTGATGGAAAGTCTGAGGAGATCAGAGAAGAAGAACAAGGATTATTTTTCAGAGACTTTTCCGACTTGCTCAGCTCGATCAGAGAGACTCTCTCTTTCACAGGGCAGAAGACTACAGTCAACCATTCAAATCAATAATTTATTTGCTTGCTTGTTTGGGGTCATTATCATGCCTTACAGTTGCCATCAGCTTCTTTTCTCCCAGTGTGACATTTGAAACTGTGACCGAACAAGTCAAAATCAGTCTCATCTGCATGGTGCAAATCGTCACAGAAGTCCTGCTTCTCTTCAGGGACGTGCCAGGATTGATTGTGAGGTCGACTGAGAGTTTAATGTTGTGCATTTAATTATGGTGCTGCTGCTGAGTTTGCTGATAGCTTGCTGTACTTTAGTGCAGTGGTTCCCAACCCTGGTCCTGGAGGCACCCCAACACTGCACGTTTTGCATGTCTCCTTAATCAAACTCACCTGATTCAGGTCATCAGCTCATTAGTAGAGACTTCAAGATGTTCAATTTGTGTGTCAGAGAAAGGAGACTTGCAAAATGTGCAGTGTCGGGGTGCCTCCAGGACCAGGGTTGGGAACCACTGATTTAGTGTATTAACAGTCAGTTATTTTATTATTAATCTATCTCATTGACCTAATGAAACTTTGTGAGGCATCATGATCTTTGCATGATGGTACAGTACTATCAGTGTTGGGTAGATTACTTACAAATTGTAGTCTGTTACTGATTCCAAATTACATGACAAAAATTGTAGTTAGTAACATAATCCATTACATTACACATTTCCGGTATTAAAATCACACTACTTTTTGATTACGTTTGACCTAACTTGATAAATCACATTGATTTAATAGGATAATTTTGTATGATACTGATATTAAAATACAAAGAGAAAGAGTTTAATATATTCCATTCACTGTTATTAACAACACAAAGTGCACTAAACATTATATTACATCAAAGTTTCCCAAACTGGGGTTCGTGAAGAAACTGCAGGGGGTTTGTGAGTTTAATTAAAAGCTAATAATTAAATTATACAAATGTTAAATAAAAAATAATCTCTTTTTTTTAAATTACAACAATCAAAATGTTAATTGGTTAACGGTAAATTCCCCTACTATATACGGTGAAAAACTGTATTGGACATTAATTTTACGGTAGTATACCGTTTTTGGAAGTGAAAAAGACTGTATAATTTACAGTGAATAACCGTAAATTGACATTCCCAGAATTCCCTGCGTTACATTTCAAATTTGATGTTTTTTTGTTGAAATAACTGTTTCTTCTTAGTTTTTTCTTATCAGTTTTGTATATTAGGGTTGTGTGTTACACCTAATGTTGTTAAATGAATGTTTATTGCATTATTTCAGTCTCATGTGTGTTACCGTGATGGTGTTTAGTGTTTGTGTGAATGACACTGTGCAGCTTCTATATATGTTATTATTTAAAAGCTGCTTGTGGTGGGCTTTGGTTCATCATGTGACTTTCTCATCACCTCCTGCATTTGGTGGTTATCAGTGTATTACAAAGCTACAAAACAGATTTCAGTACTTCAATAGGTTGGTATATTAACATTATATCAGTTAATGAAATTACGGTATTTAACTGTAAATTTAAAGTTAAAACCGTAAAACCTAAAACGTTGCTACCGTATTTTTTACGGTAAAATTCCGGCAATCTAAATGTTACAGATTTTTTTTTTACAGTGTGGGTACTATGAACTTTGGTGCTTATAAACTAAACCAAACCAGGTTACTGAGGTGAATAATGCCAATTTTCTACCAATTTGTGCCTTAGTCTAATGTTAAGCACTTGATGTATATGCAAGATTTGACCTTTCTGTTTAAGTTGTACAAATCATTACCAAAATGCACAACCATTAGAACAGAAAATATGAATGTAAGGCACAATAATAAATTGTTGCCAAAAGCAATTGTACATCAGCAGTTAGAGGATAGGATCACTATGGTTTTGGGTAATCTGCAAGACCTATCAAATATTTTTTCAAAAAGATGGCACAATACCACAAATATGTACCAACATCTGAGACACCACCATAAAAACCTATATGATCAAACCAAACTATGTCAAAAAACAAACAAAAGCACACCTCAAAGCCAACCTAACTGAACAAATATTGATCATTCCGGCATTTGCAAGCATCACGTCTTCTGAGAGGAGCTCAAAACTGCACAAGGAAATAACCGACGCGATATGCAAAAATATGGTGCCAGCAGATACCGTCAGTAAAGTCGACAAAAAACACCAATAGCCATCACACATGAATCTTTCACCAGTTGCTATCCATGAAATGCATGAGAAATGCAAAGCATGCGTTGAATTAGAGCTAAAGCAGGTGAAATACTACGCCAATCACGCATATGAGATCAATAACGAATCTGTACACGAGTTGCAGCATGCAGATTTTTATTAATGAGATGCCTGCAAACAGCTCACTTTCCCCGAAGATCACACTGACAGGAGAAAACCTGTCTCAAGGTTCGAAAGAAGAAGCTTTAGCGGCCTGGCTGGGGAATTTGTGGGGAGCAGTGCATGTCTTCATCAGAAACAATGGCTCAAATACAGTGAAGACTCGCTTTGAGCAGATGTAGGAGATTTATAATAGCTTAGATTATTTTTAAAAGAAAGTTTAAATGAGAAACATTTAAGTGTCTACAGGTGTCACATGCATTATTTAATTTGTACTACTAGTTATTTTTAAGTGCAATGAGATTCATAAATATTTAAATAACAGACTTGGTCAAATTGTTCAGGTGATAGACTGGTTTTTGTCTGAGGCTCTGTTAGCGGACTATAAAACATAAGACCTGGTGCCACAAAGGCATGACACGCACTGTAAGATATTGGGTCATTTCAGGACTTCACAGATGCCCTTTCCAGTCAGTGTTTCCTACCTGAAACTAATTCTTCCTCTACTGAACACAAAGAAACTGACTGTGGAAGATGAGGACACTGAACTGACAAAAACTATAAAATCCAAATGCATCAACAAATACTTATTCAAGATTTAATGCTGTGTTGCCTAAATTCACCTAAAATGTGTTTTTTATTATTTTTATTTATTTAAACAAATATTATACAACTTCATTATCTCAAATTTATTGGCTTATTTTAAGTTTGAGGTCAATAGGAATTTTTTTTAATACATTAATTATTTTATTTAACAAGGATGCATTAAATTGATCAACAGTGACAATCTTTTTCTTTTTAAAATCTTTAAAATCAATGCTGTTCTCACAACATCGACACCGGTACTAAACTGAATTAAAACAAAATTAAACTGACGTGAAATGTATGAACTTTGCTGCCTTTTGCAGAACTGTTTCACAGCTTCCACAAAAATATTAAGCAGCACATCTGTATTCAACATTGATAATAATCAGAAATGTTTCTTGAGCAGCAAATCAGAATGATTTCTGAAGATCATGTGACACTGAAGACTGGCGTAATGAGGCTGAAAATTCAGCTTTGATCACAGGAATAAATTACAGTTTAACAGATATTCACTTTGAAAACCGATATTTTAAATTGTAATAATATTTTACAATATTACAATTTTTACTGTATTTCTGTGATTAATTAAAGGCATCCTTGGTGAGCATAAGACTTTTAAACGGCCCCAAACTTGTGGTAGCATGCTTCTACCTGTATGACTTTGACTTAAAGGATTAGTTAAGAAAAGGACACCGTTATTATTTACTCGAGACTTCAGACATGAATGCATCTGCACAACCTGCACCATCTAGTTCAGAGGCTCTCAACCCTGTTCCCGAAGCACCTCAACAGTGCTCATTTTGTAGTTGGAGTTCACTACAAGTGAGCTAATAAAATGTAAGCTCAAATTAATATACCATGTCCAATTATTTACTCACTGTATGTAGCAAGCGGATGTATAAAAAAAAAAAAGGATAAATGCACAACATAAACCTGACAGAGTGATCAGAACCCGACACAAACCTAAAAAAAAAAAAAATGGCACGCTGGACATTATGCCTTACTTCGTATAGAAGGTGATATTAAAGAAACTGTTTTTTTTTTTTAAACGCAGCAACCATAAATTACACCTCCAAATTGATCATATGGACAACGGTTTCAATAAATAAATAGAAACGATAGCTCACATTTGATTGCTGGAAATGCATGCCAACACAGTTACAGGATTTCCTTTCAGAGAGAACAGCAAAGCCATGGGTAAATTGATGCTTTTGTACAAGTTTGCTGATTCACTCACTCTCATGGCAGGCTCTGTGCAGTGCATACAGGTCTGTGGGTCTTTTTCCAATTATTTTTACGAATGCTTTATGCAAATATGGAATAAAGTACCACTTAATCTGCCTCTCTGCTTGTACATGATACGTCATAACACGAGCATCTAGACAGAGAAAACAAGATGAAGATTTGAGTCTTACACCACATTTGATGAAGACTCCTTGCCCATAGCTGTTATTAATAGGGAATCTTCCTCCAGTTACCAGATTAGCAGGGAAGGACATAATGTGGCACTAATATGATCAACTCAAAAGGCCTGCGGTGGCTTTCTCTTATCTCTGTAGGCTGCTCAGAACTACTGTGTAATCCTCAGAGTTTGCTGACCCATATTCACTATCGCACAATGCACCGACAGGCTAATGGAGGCCGAAGGGCAGGACGCAGATGGTTAAAAGGGTGCTGTTGTTTTTTCAGAGCGGTTATGTCATCTGGTCAGCATGAGGGAACCCAGTGACATGACACCCCGTGATGGCTGGCACCTTGTCAGCTGTTGATGCAGATGACTCGTATTCGTCTCAGTCAGCAATGCCATTCTCTGAACAGAGAGTCGGTCCTTTGCGCTGTAATGCAGGCCCCTGGATGCTTTGCAAACAAACTCACCTTTCCCCATGCATTCATGTGGGTACTCTGATGGAACTGGCAAAAATGTGTGAAATGCAACTGCATGTCTACTATACAAGTCCATTACGAAAATTAACCATGGTTTTATTATTGTAAAAATGTAGTAGCATGGGTTTTTTGGGGCGCATTTATTATTACCATTTGTAGTTTACTACAAATACCATGGTTAAACTATGGTTAGTGTAGCACCATGTTTTTTTTTGGTTTTATTTGTAGTAAAACCATAAAGGGAGCTTGAAACTGCCTGCCAGCCCAATGCTCAAGTTTATCCCTGAAAAACTGAGTTTGTGAACACACACACACACACTTACCTTTGTGACAACATTTTGCTCTAGTCCGATTTCCAGTTCGCATCCCGACTGCGTACAGATGCATTGTGATGACGCATTAGCGGAGTTGCTTGCATTATTGATATTTAATATCGCCTGCGTAACATTGAGTGAAGGATCGCTGATATTCCGCTGCACTTGCGCACAAGTCTTTGGCTGAGCCAGGAGAAAATTGTCCGAAAATTGGCTGAAGCCAATGAAAATGGCCGGGATCCATGTTAAAACGATCAGCTGTTTCTGAAATCTCCCGAAGCCGCCCACGCTCGGCAAAACGCCGCCGTCGATCCGCGAGAGCAAATCGGGCGATTTATTAGTTTCGGGGGTAACGAAGCCGTTCTCCGGCGGATGAGGCTCGATGTCCAGCTGAGACACGGCCATCACCGTCTCGCACATACCGCAGCCCGGTTCGCTAATGCGTCAGAACCGCGCACAATCCCGTTCACACTGGATGCACAATCAAAAAGAGAGCTCCGCGTCCAGTGCTCAGGGAGTGGTTCGCGTGTCTTCACCCGTTCCAAAGGCGTCACGAGCCGTTCGCGATCAATCAATACTCAAAAGTCACCGGTTTAACCCGACCGCTCCACTATCCAAACGCGCTTCTGATCGGAAAACAGCAGCAAGGTTCAAGGAAAGCGATACGTTTCGTCGGCACGTTGCTGCTCCGTGCCCATTCCCTCCGTTCACAGCCACAGGTAACACACCTGTCCCAGACACGCAGCCCCGCCGCGCGTGACATTACACTCAGACACGCGTCATTATCCACTCAGGAGCCGAGGACTCTCTCCGTCTGAGCTCGCACGCACTCCATATGCTCTCCCGTGATCATATGCACCGAATAAACAGACACGAGGGCGGAACTTCGGCTGAACGTCCCCTTAACGCAGTCATTGGATGGCATTGGTTCCAGTCACATCTAGTGTGCTCGACTTCACAACCTCAGCAGCTTCTGTCCATGCGTGTATTGAAGCTACAGTCAAATTGAAGTTGTTTAAGTGGTTATGCTCTTTAATAAGCGTTTCATCAAATCATTTAGTAGTGTGAGGATGGTAGACCTGTTTTCATTTTGCAGTAACTGCTGCCATTTATCGCCCCAAACTGGCAGAAAGACCATTTAAATGATAGCACAGGGGTCACAGACACACCTGAACCAGCTAATCGAGGTCTTACTAGGCCTGCGTCCCAATGTGCATGCTATCCATCCTGAATTCTGTGATAGTAGTACTTTTCAATACTATTTATTTAGGGCCGATAGTACGCACATTGGGACGCAGGGTAGGCTACTTGAAGCTTCCAGGCTGGTGTGTTGTTGAGGAAAGTTGGAGCTAAACTCTGCAGGACACCGGCCCGCCAGGACCGAGTTTGGTGACCCCTGCCTAAGCAAGTCTAGTGCTAAAAGCGACCAAACATGTGCTGTATTTAACGAAGAACTTCTGAACTTATACACTCTCAGAGAAAATGGTAGAAAAGCTGTCACTGGGGCGGCATAACCTTTCACGAGGTAATATGTGCATGCACTTTAGGAACTAATATGCACCCTTGCGGTGTAAATAAGGTACCGCCCCACTTTTCTCCTTTCCAGAGAGTGTATGCACTGCTGGTCGTGTTTTAGGATGTAGTATGCAATGATTTGATTGTATATAGACAGTGTTGGGGAGTTACATGTAGCAGAATTATGTAATTTAATTACAAAATCAATGTAATTGTAATCAGTTACAGTTACTTACAAATCTGACATCTGAATATTTTTCACACACACGCTTACCTACAGATTTGATTGATTTCTTTCATAAATTGCTCTAACTGCTCTAAAAATATGAGACACCATTTTTTCAGGCGCTTGGGACACAGAATAGGACACATGCTTATTCAATACGCTAACTGTTTTATTTCCTATTTGGATTCGTGTACTTGCTTTATTTTGTAAGATTAACAGCATTGTTAGATGCCAGTGTTTTCTGACGTAGCTATGCAAAGATTCGATTTCAAAAGCATTATCACAGCTATTAAACGATTTCTTCTTGTGGTTTAGAATGATCTCAAAGTCTGATTTTGTGGTGGCTGTGCTTTAAAATGAAATTATTTGAATCTTAATACAAGTGATGAAGGATTTCGAAAGTCTGACAGCATTGAGTCAATCACTAGTGTAAGGTTAACCCTGCCTGATTCACATTTTTAAAAATGATCAGCCGTTGAAAACATTAGAAATCAATCAAATGCAATTAAGTAATTGAAATAGTTACACTACTTATTACATTTTAAATAGGGTAACTTGGAATCTGTAACCTATTACACTTCCAAAGTAACCTTCCCAACACTGTATATACAGAAGCAAAGACTTAATATTCTAATATTCGTGGACAAGCATTATTTGAGTAAGCCTGTCATCTAGTGGTGACCAATAGTGTTACAGGAATTATGTTTCTGGAAGAGAGATCTTGAGGATTTGAAGGCAGAGGTTGGGCAGCTGGACTCCTTTTATCCCAAGAGTAAAACACACATTAAAGGGTTGCTTGCAGAACATGTTTTTACTTGTATTCACGTTCAGTTTGCTTTATTCACTGCTCGAACGACACCTGACATGACAACAAAAATAGCAACACTCTCGTAAATCCTTAGCCAAGAATTCTAAAGATGAAAGAATATCCTTTCAGAATCAAGTATGATCCAGATAAAGATAAAGTGAAAGAGAGAGACTCCAGTAGGATCTTATTTGATGTCAAGTTAGGAAGAGTAAAGATTTGTTTGCTGGTTTGTTCATTTTAGTTTGAGATTGAGTTTACTTGGATGTTTTACTCCGCCATTACCATTGGTCAGTTATGTTACTTTATGTCTGTAACCTTGACATCACCCTTTGCTTTTATTATGTTTACACTGACTGAATGTGTGAACGTTCACCTGTTAGGATAGAAAAAGAGATGCCGCTCACACCCTTTTATTAAAGTCTTCAACCTTTGAGCCCAGCCATGAGTCATAAACTCAGTCATGTGATACAAGGCAGACACTGTGCTGTTTTACTGACTTACTTTACAGTTTTAGTTGTTCTCTTAAAAAAAAAAGAAGACAAATACTGTAGAGAAAGCAGCTGCTGTTTGTCAAACAGGGAGGTTCTTACAAATGCAAAAAAAAAAAGGAATAATAATAAAATAAAAATAAAAAATCTAAGTAATTATAAAAATTGCAAATTAATTAATGCTTGTTTTATGCTGTGGTTTTGTCAAATTTGTCAAATGCAGAACTTTTTAAAAGTATAATAATTCAGAATATTTTTGTGGGTTCTGACTTTCAATTAAATCCCAATCTCTCTCTCTCTCTCTCTCTCTCTCATATAATAGCTGTTGGGTAAAACAGTGAACACAATAAAACGCACTTGGCATTAAGACAATGCTATCAAGACAGACTTAACACAAACTGATCTTAGGTGTTAATTGCAATTGATTAATTACAATATCTGTTGATCCTCCTTATCATATGATATTGTAATAAAGTGTTTTGTGTGTGATATCATAAACGCAGATAAAATAAACACAAAATTCTTTACGTTATCTGCAATTACGTAACTAATAACGGTTTACATTTTTGCTGAAAAACAGCAGTATAATATGCTATTTAACGACAGGTTCCCATTGAGACCATGCACTTACCCCCAAAGGTCAACTACTCAATGTTGAAAAGTAGTAAAAAGTCTCAGGCTTTTAACAGTGGTATAAAAGTGAACAGTGTTATATAAGGCTGATAAAACTATGATTTATAACTCCTCTAGTCTTTGATGTTTGTATATACTGACAGTATAGCAGCATTCACCGGAAGAGTTTTTGTGATTGCGTAAGAGTGAAAATGGGTTAGTCTTTGGTGGTTGATGAAATCATTAGGTGTGCGTCATCTGTTATCTGATGAGTTAGCATCTGGTGTGTGAATGACAGACCAAATCACTGAATGGTATTTGTGAAAGCAGACAGATGTTTCATTACCACAGTGTCTAGATGCATCTGTACTTTGACCCTTTCAAGGTCCCCACAAAGTCACTCTCGCTTGCAAGGAAAATGCATACGTCCTTCTCTATACAATTGTCCATGATTACATACTTTTCTAGTGAAATAAATAATTAAATCAAACCAAAACCCAGCAAAAATGTCTGTGTTCTCTTGCCAGGGAGTTTAGACAAGCTGGAGAATTAGCTGCTAAGGGTGTGTCTGAATAAAATGTGAGTAATGTGTTGTCATGAAAAAGGCTTACGCATAGACTGAAAACACAACAAGTGGTAACAGAGCAGGTGTAGACATGGGGGTATTTGATCAGCCATGCCTGAATCGTAGAGAAGCAGTGGGAAAGAACGAGAGAGGCGTTGGCTCACCTCAGTGACCCATCCTTAGCAATACATGGAAGTTATGTTCTGTAGAGCAGTTACTGTATAAACATATGGCTGGATAACGCAGAACTATCCATGCATGAAATGTTGATTCAGGTCCAAAATTGTAATACATCAAAATTAAGGGCAATATTCTTAAGCACGCCATCTATAACATTTGTTTATTACTTGAGAAATATTATTCAAATGTGTGGTTGAAGTTAGTAAAATGACTGAAATCATGTTAATCCTTGCCGGTAATCTGGGTCTTAAAGGAATAGTTCACCCAAAAATAATAATGGGGCATCATTTACTCACCCTCCACTTGTTCCAAACCTGTATGAGTTTCTTTCTTCTTCTGCTGAGCCCAAAATAAGATGTCGTGAAGAATTTTGGTTACCAAACAGTTGATGGTTGCCATTGACCTCCATTGTACTCTTTGCATACTGTGGAAGTCACAAAGGGTTCCTTTAACTGTTTGGTTTCCGACATTCTTGAAAATATCTTCTTCTGTGTTCAACAGAAGAAAGGCACTCATGCAGGTTAGGAACAAGTGGAGGGTGAGTAAATGATGACAGAATTTTAATTTTTAGGTGAACTATCTCTTTAAGGGGCGGCTACACTACACTTTTGTTCCCTTAGGCTCATCTGATATTTCAAATGCCTCGCCTTGACAGTAGACAGGAGTAGGCGCTACAGTCAGGGAGGAGTGAAATAAGTGTCAAGATGAACTGTTCTTACTTCTCATAGTGGATCAGTCAGGCAGATATTGTGTGATTCACACTCATGTGCTTTCTTGCTAATACATGGATATAATTTAAATTATGTTGCTGTTATATGAAAATAAATGTTTTTAATTTAATTTGTTTAATTTACTTCCAAAAAGACACACACACACACACACACATATTTAACATATAAACAGTTACCTATTTCACACGGAGGTCACACTGTGTTAGGAATATTTATAAATTTAAAACATGATGTCAGAGTTTTGGAATGGAACAAAACATCACAATTGTTTAAACCAATGAGAATTAAGCTGTGTCGTCAGCAAATCATTTTTTATCATACCTTTAGTCAGTGCACTTTTTTTGGGGCCATACATCAGCATGACATCAGAGCATGATGGACCACACTCTGACACATTTCTAACTGTTATGCATCTCTTGGTGATCACCGGCGATTGGTTTAGTGCAGATTTTGCTCATCCCAAACAAGCCTACTGACTTCCATTCATATGCACATGCATGCGTGAGAGAAAACGCAAATTCATGTGAAATTCATTGCATTACAAAGTTCAAGTTTGATAAACTCTGCACCTTGAATACACATCACGTCAAGATGTACGACCAAAAGAAGATAAATGTCACTTCACAACATCTTAGCTGAATTAAAAAAAAAATGCAAATTTTAAGCCCCAAGTGTCACATCTTTCTTTTTAGGCAGAAATTATTGAGAGGATCAGGATGAGTGAGCAG